ACGAACTGCCGCGCAGTATACTCGTCCCTTAATTGATAGACGGATATCTCGCCTTCGCCATAGATAACGTAAGTTTGCAAAGGCCAAGCGAGCTTTTCGAATCCGTGCTGAGATTTCGTCAGACACCAACCCATTAGAGCTGATCAGACTTCCAAGATAAGTGAAGTTGTCGACGCGTTCGATTACTTCACTCCCTATCCTTAGTTCAGGTGTTGACGCAGACCAGTCCTGAAGCAACAACTTGCATTTAGAGGGAGAGAAGAGCATCCCAAACATTCTGGCATTGTTTCTCACTGCTACCAAAAGACTCTGCATTTCATCAGCGTCTTCACCAAACAGGACTATGTCATCTGCGTATTCTAAGTCAATAAGTGGACCTCCTGGTGGGAGATCAATTCCTGAGAATTCAGTCGATGAGAGCGTTATTTCCATCAGTAGATCTATGATGAAGTTAAACAAAAATGGGGAAAGTGGACAGCCTTGGTGGACGCCACTTGAGGTTGCAAAAGCAGATGACAGTTCGCCATAAACTCTGACTCGACCAGTAGTGTTCGAGTAAAGAGCCTTCACAAGGTTTATGTACTACTGAGGTACGCCTTTCAATGACACACTGCCACAGAACCTCTCGGTCTACATAGTCAAATGCTGCTTTTAAGTCAAAGAAGACCACCATTGTCGGACGCCGATAATTATGCCTGTGTTCTAGAACCTGACAAATGGTGAATACGTGGTCGATGTAACCACGACCAGGTTTGAAGCCAACCTGATTGTCTCGTGTTTTCAGTTCACGAGGCGTCCGATAATTATTGAGGCTAGTATTTTAGATGCTATATTAGTTAAACTAATCCCTCTATGGTTGTCACAGGATGATTTTGATACTTTCTTAAATATTGGGACGATAAGTGATTGTGACCAGTTAGATGGGATAACGTCTGACTCCCAGATTTTAGCTAAAATATTAGTCAACCTAATCGCTAAAACTAGACCACCATCCTAAAAGACCTTTGGGGCCAATCCATCTGGACCAGCTGCTGTTCCTCGTTTCAGATTAGCTATAGCCTTTTGAACTTCAGCTAGGGGACCTACTTCAATGTTCCATTCATACTGTCTGGGAATGATGGGTAGTTGTATAGTAGCTGAAGGCCATCTAAACTGCTCCTTAAATTGTTCCGCCCATCGTTCTAAACGTCTGGACTGGGAGCAGATGAAAGTGTTGTTTTTTTCCGAAATAGTCTGACTTACACTTGACTTATTAATTCCAGTTTCTTTTATTAGTCTGTAGAGTTGTCTTGTGTTCCCTATAGTCTCCGCCTTTTCCATCTCTTTTGCTTTCGTTGCCCACCACTGCTCACGATCATTCCTTAGACTTTTGCTTAACCTAGATCTGATTTCTTTACGCTCTTCATCGTGTTCAGAGCCTGATGGGATGAGTTTGCGAGAATCCATCAGTTCAGTAGACCTTGAAGAAATCCATTGGTTCTTTGTAACCCTGTGGTTTGAATCACTAGTAGATGTCACTGCTGTTTCCACAGCTGCTTGTATAACATTCCAAGCAACATCGGGGTCAGCCTCGTTTTCAGAACTACCTAAGTGTGACCTCAGTTGTTCCTGGAACCTACTTTTGGTTTTCTCATTACTCAATTCGGTTCTAATGAGTCTTTTTTGTGTGGCTTTTTTGCGTCCAGTGAGGCGCAAGCAGATAGATGCGTGCTCGTATTAGGGCATGGTCGGAGTCCAAGCAGGTACTCCAGAATGAGTGACAATCTTCTATTGACCCTATCCAACGATGACTGATGGCAATATGGTCTATTCGAATCCATCGTTGATTTGGTGCACGGGGTCGCCATGTTACACGATGTCTCTCTTTATGCTTAAAATTTGTGTTTGCTAAAAATAAACGATTGTCTGAGCACAGTTGCAGCAGACGATCACCATTATCTGTTCTCTGTGCCGGAATACTAAAATACCCACCTAAATGTCTTTCTGTTTCGTTTAAGCTACCTACCTAGGCATTAAAGTCACTTGCTACGAGTACTATGTCTGAACGTTTAGCTTTCTGAAGAAGTTCAGACAGCTTTCCGTAAAATTCATCTTTCACTTCATCCGAACTGCAGTCAGTAGGAGCATAAGCAGAAACGACGAAAAGGCAACGACGTGTGTCCCTATCCTTTCGATTTCTTACGGAGCTATTTAGCCGAACAGCGCATAAACGACTATTAACGGGGATCCACTCTAATAGCGCTTGTTCCGCCCTCATGCTTAGTGCTATGCCTACACCTGCCAGTCCACGAGAACTAGCCGTGGGGGTCGCCAGATACACGGAGGGTGTATATCGTCAGCTCTCCGTTTTGCCGAGGTGAGGTCAAGTGAATGATCACGCTAGGATCCTGTATGCGTGTTTCGGAGACACATCATACATCAATGGTACGAGATTCTAAGGTTTTAGCCAAGGAAGCCTGCTGACCGATTTGGCATAGTGTGCGTACGTTGAAGGCTCCAATGTATAGTTTGGAGCGAGGTTTCAGTAGACCTGGGACAGTGTTATGCGCACAAAAATCGTTGGCCGTGGTGACACTTGAGGAGGAAGCCGAAAGAGGGAGTTTAGAGTTGAAAGTCGATCTAGGAGGAATAATGGGAATTGAAGAGGGAGGTTGATAATGAATACAGTGGTCTTGAGTGCTGTTAGAGGTATGAGGGCGGTTATCACTTCCCGGTTGCCCACACCGTGGAAGGGTTCTCCTGGAGATACCTGAAAAGGAAATTGGATTAGGGGTGATCTTAGTGACCTGAGAGCGTGACCGCAGTGCCCAAGGGACAACTGCTTGAGGTCGGTCACACACGACCTTTTTATGAGTAATTTTTGTGTTAGCTCCGTACTTGTTGAGACCTTACCGCCGGAGACGAATATCCGTGGAATAAGGCAAGGTGTGCAGTTTTAGGGTCGACTTTTTCTAACCCCACCCCTCCTTTTGGGAAGGCAGCATCGCTGTTATGCTGGTTGTCTGAAAGAAACACCTTACTGCTGTCACGCCTCTGTACATTCAGCAGTACGACTTCGCCTTCGGACCTTGGTTTTGTTGCTTTTAGTCTTACCGCTCTTCAACCGACCTGTTTGGCATGGTAAGACCTTGAGTAATGATTGTTCTAGCCAGTATAGCTCAGTTGCTTCATCACGATAGGCAAGCCCGACCACTACGTCAAGGTAGCAACAACAGTCAGGTCAGGTCAAAATAAGTCATGCATTGATGAATTCGGCAATGTTATATGTTAAAAAAGGGTGAACGTTTGCATCTATCATGATATAAATACTCCAAAACTGTGTTATTTGTAAATTAGTCGGTCATTTATTAAGGGTCAGAATGATTTGCAGTATAGGGTCAAGTCATGATCAATATAATATAACGAAATAAAAAATCGTGTGAGTAAAACGCTTAGTATAAGAATTTCGTTTTGTTACTCGAGGTAGTAATAATAATATTAAGATTGTGTGAATATAATTTGTAATAAGAGAGGTCTTATCAAGGTAACTACGAAAGTATCAACAAACAAGAACTGTTTGAATAACATCCACTTAGTTATTAAATTCACCAGGAAGAGAAGAACAACAATGGTATAGCTTTCTTCGATGTCCTACTTTTTAAAAGGATAGACGGTTCCTTGAAAAGTAATGTATTTGGAAATAATACATGAACAGGTCAGTATATCCATTTTCATAGCTTTAAGGCTCTTTAATACAAAATAAATATGGTTAAATGTCTCAACCGCGGAATCAAACCATTATTCTCTGTAGATAATGTAGATAACGAAGTAGATAATCTAAAGAACACATTACAGAATAACAACTATCCAGATAATTACGTTAAAATTTTTCCATTAAAGGTAATGAAAAAAGAGCAAACTGTGACACGGTCAGTAAAAACCTTTTTCTGAAAGTGAACTTTAAAGGGGACATAGCGGGTGACATTTTAGCACGTCAACTCAAAAGATCTGCTGATAGGATATTTCACGCTGCCAAGCGCCATTCTTTCTCACTTGGTGGATGGTAAGCATCATATTAAAATAGGTGAAGCTTTCTCTGTTTTATATCAAGTTCCAAACAATCTACCAAAAGGAGCTAGATAATGGCTACTCTACATAGCTGAAGCCATGTGGATCAACTCCAAAAAACCGAACTTATGTGTACAGAAGTATATCAAGCCTCTATGTTTACTTTGGTCCGCGACTAGATCACCGGATACCTAAATTGGATATTATAAACCTCTTATTCCTCTTCCCACTTCCTTTTGTGTCTACATCATTCGTAAACTTCAAAATCATTTGTCTCAATTCACACGAATTCCTTTTTATTGCAATTGCCTTGATAAGACCTCTCTTATTACAAATTATATTCACACAATCTTAATATTATTATTACTACCTCGAGTAACAAAACGAAATTCTTATACTAAGCGTTTTACTCACACGATTTTTTATTTCGTTATATTATATTGATCATGACTTGACCCTATACTGCAAATCATTCTGACCCTTAATAAATGACCGACTAATTTACAAATAACACAGTTTTGGAGTATTTATATCATGATAGATTCAAACGTTCACCCTTTTTTAACATATAACATTGCCGAATTCATCAATGCATGACTTGTTTTGACCTTTGTAAGATATCACAATAATTATGGACTTCTAACTGTGGAGCCTGATGATGAAGTTATCAAAAAAATTGTTCGCTTAAATATTTTCCAAACGTAGTCCCCACTCTGTAAAAGTGTAACTAAGAAGGTCAAGCGACACGTAACCATAGCCGGAAATTATTCCTCTTTATCCAGGTATCAGGAGTGTGTAGTATCATCCACTCATGCACATTTGAAGGACCTCGTAGCTTTCTCTATAAATATGAAATAGTTAGGTATTTTACTTTCTTCGGTTTTGTAAGTTAAATATGATTTATAAGAGTCAAGCAGTATGATATTTTAGTTTTGTTTAATTTGACTTTTCAGGGTCCAGTAATGGTTACAGAATGCTTGAAACCTTATGCATCACATATTCGAGTACACTTTGTTTCAAATATAGATGGAACACACATTGCGGAAACATTAAAGAAAGTAAATTCAGAGACAGTTCTGTTTATCATCGCCTCCAAGGTAGGTTTCCTCTGAGTATCTGATACTTCATACTCGTTTCATAATTTTGAAATATTATTATTAAACCTTTACTTGTTTTCCAACAACCTAGCCAAAAGTGGAAAATCCGTTGTTGAGGTTTCAAGCATTCATCGACTAAGGCGTTTAGAACGTGTGTGACGTATGCCGAACCAACACCTTCGATGCTCGATGTGGGCCAGTGTGGGAGTAGATTGGAAAAAATACAGCTAAGAGCGGTCAAACCGAATTGTATCAGTTCATGTAGTCATTAACAGTTAGTTTACCATGTTAGCAGGTGCAGACTACCTTATTGAAGTCTGTATAATAGCTGCATTCATTGGCTAGAGACGAGTAGCATGGTTCACCTTAAATCACAGTGACACGAACCCATGTAATGTAGGTCCTATTTTTTCATTCCTTGACCCGCATTCCCAGTATTCAGTTTTTTTTTTCAACATTATTGTTGCTACATCATTTCAATTCCTTAGTTAATGTGGTATTTCGAATTGGGCAACATATATTTATACCGGGGTTTACTTTAATGGCAGTCGACCGATTCTATTTCTCCATAAAATCCTTGATGGCTGGAACTCAAGTTTTGTTTCTTGTTTGTGTTCCGATCTGAATGTTATCTGAGATCGTCACACTCTTATTTTAATTTTATAGCTTATGTAACTGTTCTAACTAAACACATTTTTTTCTTTTAGACCTTCACTACTATTGAAACGATGACCAATGCTAACTCTGCCAAACAATGGTTCCTAGAACATGCGAAAAATGTAGGTAACGTCCGGTAATGTATTAGGATTCTCCGTTAAATTTCCTTTTCAAGTAACCAGTTTTCGCTGTTAGGTGATTCTTTATCTGATGTTGATTAAGTATAATACTTCATAGATTTGATGTAACATAATACTTAAAAGTGACATCATATAGTAATTTTAATAGTAATGTGAGTTGTTTATCTCTTACCTGCTTTTACAGGTTTCTCACGTGGCCAAGCACTTTGTTGCCTTATCAACTAATGCAACAGAAGTCTGCAAATTTGGCATAGCACCAGAAAACATGTTTGAGTTTTGGGATGTAAGTCTACCTCAAAGTACTATGAATATTATCCTGAAAGTTTCTTAAGTAACTTGCCTATTTCAGTATTTCTGTAATCTCGATAGTATCTTTAAACTGTCGATGTACATTTATAGTAGCCAGGTCTGTGTACTAAATTAGACTTTGGTTCCTTGTGAAACGCACGATTTCGCTTCTTTATTGTCTCCCAAAGTTGCACAGTCCAATCATTATTTCCAATATTTCTGATTGGAACCAATTCAGTTGACATACATCCATAAACTCTGAATGACTAACAGTATTTGAACAAAAAAACGGTTTATATCCTTCTTTTGAATTCCTTTCAACGATAAAAATTTCTTCAAAGCCTATCTGTCAGTGGAATCAAATGTTGCCTTTAGTTTGGAGATGGTGACTACAGTCGGGGCTCGGTATATATATGTGTCCAAAAACATATCTAAGGATAACTATTTGGTCACTAACTTCTCAATCAGATCTGAAACCGGCTTAGGTTTCTCAGATTAGTTGTTTCGTACTACCATTTAGTTGTCTTATAATTATGAATACGAGTAAATTAGTTACTGTCAGTTACCTCCAAAATAATTTATATGAACATTCGTCAATTTGAAAAATTCCTTCCTCGCAACTTTTATCCTTCCATATTCTATGAATGAACTGAAATTTCTGTTTACTTCCTTCAATTGTGTAGTGGGTTGGAGGTCGTTACTCATTATGGTCTGCTATAGGTTTATCTATAGCTCTTTACGTAGGTAAGTTGTTATGTATTTATAATTTATAATCCACTTGGTTATTAAATTAGTATTGTGTATCTTTTCGTACGAAGTTGTGATTTAATCGTCGAAACACTTTCGATGTAGAATTAAATGTTCTTATCAGTAGGATACATCAATTTACTCCCAAACAATACATTTCATTTACAATTTGCCATGAATTTGTATTCATAAAATTCGATGTTAAACTAAAATAGTCCTTACATAGACTAATGCCGTGGTACGGCCGAGAGTAGGGAGAGTCCGCTCTCCCTCTCGAAATGCTCTCACATGGTCACGCGTATATAGCCTCTCCCAAGGAAGTCCTACTCACTGCCTTCTCGTGGCAGGGGTGTTGTTTACGAAAATGAGAGGACGAAAAGCGAATTTCCGGCGCTTTAACCAGATCCCAAACCAATGGTGAACATGGGCTCCAGTATCCTGAAGGAACAAATGGCGTATGAACCAATCGTTGGTCACCGGCTACCATGGGACTGCATCTCCTTACGACACCCCACTGCCTTGTGGTTCAGGTCGAAGGCTAGGGGTGTGGCCTCCTAAGAAAACCACCTGCTTCGGTTTGGGCACCCAGGCAGTATCACAGCCCTCACACATATCAAGTGAGATTTGTGTGGCTCATATGTATTTGGTACCTCCTTGTGCCAATATCCATGTGTTAAAATAAATAAATAAGTTGTAGATTTTAAAATTTCTTGATAGGCGACCATACTTATCAACGTTTTCTCCATGATCATCCAAACTATACAAGTCTTGGTGACTGTTTAATTTTGTTGGAGACATTTATTTTATTAATCTCTGTCACTAAACTGAATATTCACCAGATAAATCGCCTTATTTTTGTCTCGTTTATTGATTAAGCACTAACAATCAACATGTATGCTTGTAACTTGCGCATATATAGTAGTATAGACTTTCTTTATCTACTAAGGTATGGAGAATTTCATTAAATTGTTGGAAGGAGCTCATGAAATGGATAAACATTTCAAAGAAACGCCATTACATAGAAACGTAAGTTATGTTATGAATTTCTTTATTAATACTGCTTTAAATTGTTATTCTTCCGAGTAGAAATTTATAGATTATGTGTGAACTGATAATCCTGAATAATAATGATAAATATGAGAGCAAAATTTGTAATGGAAGTCAGTTTAAAACTACTTAACTTACAATTTCTATGTTTATAAGTAACGCTTTTCTTATACAGTAATGTAATAATTATAGTCGTTATTATATTCTATAATAATCTAAAATACACTGAAAATCACCCCCAACAAGTGGCTTTTAAAGAAGCAAGACATTTTTGTTGAAATTCACTTGGCAAAAAACGACCATATCATTGATGCAACTATTATATTGGTGCAGGATTAAGAAGTCAAAACAGCATTGCACAAAACCAACCAAATAAACAGTATTTCAAAATTCAAATATATAGATGGCCATCTTTAAAATTAAATTTCTTATCATTCTTCTTTTACGCGAAATTCTCCCCAATTGTTTCATTGTTTCATTTTTATCAGCCGAAATCGGTATCAAAGCGTTATAAGAACATACATATTTTAGTATGTCACATAGTTCTTAATAGATTATCTTTGATAGATAATCTTACTTACGTTTGTTACCACTCGTGGAGGAGCATCGGTCGCCCACCAGCATTCTCCATCGAACTCTGTCTTGGACAATCCTTCCCAGATTCTATTCATTCTTTTGATGTCTGCTTCCAATTCCCGATGCAATGTGTTCCTTGGTCACGGTGTTAATATTGTTGGAACTCTGATTCAGGACGTTGGTTTAAATAATCTACCAGCTGGTCACAATTTTCGTTAGTGAAGAAATAATACTTTATTGAAAGTGATGAGTTGTTACATTCTGTTAAAACTCTCCTTTCACACTAGAGAATCCAGTGCATTAAGAAAGAATTCAGTTTCAGATTATACTTGAATATTTAATTTCTCCAAACTTTATTTTTCTAATATCGCTATTACGAAGAAACAAGGAACTCAAATCATGAATTTCGTGTTCAGGTATAAAAAAATGTATGTTAGAATTAAAATGAGCTAATGTATTTTAATGTTTATTTATTTATTTAAACATAAATATTGGTACAAGGAGGCACCAAATATATATGTGCCACACTTCATCATTCAATTTGTGTAAGGTCTAGAATACTGTTTGAACACCCAAACCAAAGCAGGTGGTTTTCTTAGGGGGCCACACCCCAGTAATGTGTTGTATGAGCATTCATTCAAATCCACTTGTCATCCTCTTACATTACTAACCTTCAATCTTTTAACCTATTTCAAACTTCACTAACTCCAAATTCAATATGAATATGAATAACAATGGTTATTGATATTGATACACTGTGTTAATATAGTTTAGAATATATAAAACATAGTTTCAGTTTAATTTAATTAAATAATTGCTAGTTAACCATTGTTCCATTTACAAACTACTAACTTTGTCATATTATACGAATTGTTAACATATATTTCACATATTTAATTTTAGTAAGCTTGTCAAATCAGCATAATATATCTCATATTTATTGTTATTTTATCCAATTATTCGTCAATGTTCATTAATGTGTGATTATATAAATGTATAGATTAAGTATTTTATTATCAAAAATTCGATAGGAATTCATTAAACTTATATTCACATAGATACAAATAAATAACAGATTACCTTTATTTTCGTTTCGAATATCTGTTCATCATTAGTAAATGTTTCAATAGTATGTAAAATACAATGCCAGATATTTTGTTGATGAGGTCATAATCTAAATCAATATAAGACGTTTAATGTATGATGACCAAACATCAATGAAGCTCGGTGACCAACGTAAGTTATGACACTAAAATGAGTGTCTATAATAACATTACTTGTAATTTAGTACAGCAGATATCACCTGCTAAAGTGACGATATTATGGATACTACTGGTAAGTGAATACATGAGTAGATAAAGATTAATTGGAATGACCATGAAGTGTTCCTTCGTATTAATTGATATAAGTGTAGAATTTCCAATGTAGAAGACATTGTGATGAGTCATGTGACACTAATCATGGAATTCAATCACATCATCGTACATGATACAATTCAACTGAAATTGATTGAGGAGTTAAAAGATAATTATTCAATATTGAATACTAATCCTTCACAGTGGTTGTGCATAAGATAGTTTGCCTCTACTTGAAGGGAAACCACCAAATTAATGGTTTTTGGAGTAAGATTTTGATAGTATTCTTTCCGTTATAATGTTAACTAAATACTAATTATGACAAGAATGTAAGTCTTTCGGTAGCACCAATATTTCCTAATTAGATTTTGTCAAGAAATAAATGATTAAACTTTAATCAACAGCTATTTGACATAACACTGGCTACCTGTCAACAATTTGACTGACAAACTACTAGCTTCATTTATATTTGTACGTTTTTAAATTTCCTTTATCCTTCCCTAGTTTGACCTTTGAAAATGTATATTTTTTGTCGGATAAGAATACATCGCATGATTTGAAGGTTAAAAATGATTCATAGGTTGCTATTATCCTCTTTGTCGTTTGTAAATTTTCAAAGTTAACGGGCCATTTAGATATATCCCAGCTTTCAGTTTTTATACTACCCCATCTCTTCATGTTCATTTTTACTTGATGTGGCTTCCTGATTAAAAGTTCACTTACCATATATAGTATCATTTTTTATATCGAACTATATAAGTAGTTTTACAAACTAATAAATATATCTTACTTTATAGCTTCCTGTCATCCTAGCTGTGTTAGGTGTAATGTATATCAATATTTATGGGGCAGAAACTCAAGCAATTCTACCATATGATCAATATATGTCACGCTTTGCTGCATATTTCCAACAAGGTGATATGGAATCAAATGGAAAGTTTGTTAGACGTGATGGCAAAGAAGTTGATTATTCCACTGGTCCCATAGTTTGGGGTGAACCAGGAACAAACGGTCAACATGCATTTTATCAACTTATTCATCAAGGCACACGCTTAATCCCATGTGATTTCTTGATACCAGTGCATACACACAATCCAGTTCAAGGTGGCTTACATCATGAGGTTAGTGCGGTATGGTGCTAATATTTACAGTTATATGAGTTCCTCCGAAATAATTTTTTCTGGAATTATGTTATATGTTGTGACCACCGATTAGAGGGCAGTGAATTATCGATTGGACCAAGGACGCGTAAAACACGTGCGAGCAGCCTAGAGCTCTGATTGGCCCTGCTTCCTGCCTAGCCCAGCCAGCTAAGTCCAGAACACTGATCCGAGCCTCTGCGATATAAACATGTATTTCAAACATACTCTGTTTATATACCAATCAAGCAGACCACAAGGTAGCATAAAATGGGAAATAACATTTGCACAAGATTTGACCAAAAGTGGTTGTGAATGAGGGAGGTAGTTATTAATAAACAGGGAATAATTCAAGAATGGAAAATCGTATAATAACAGTTCATAGATTAAAATAAAGCTTATGATAATAAAGACATGAATATGAATAGTATAGTTAATTAAAAATCATACGTATATTATTGGTCCACAAATGAATCCCAAAAATTACCACTCATTATTCTTATCAGGGCATAACAAATTTGTTTGAAATCAACAAACAGTAGTGTGGAAATGACTAGAAACTTCATTTCTGCAACTATAACATGTGAGTTAGTAATAAATACATGTCAGTAAATTTCTAGAGGCTCACGAAAATAACAAAGCACGTATATTTACCACAAAGCGGTTGCGTTTTATTTGCGTATACCTCATCAACCCTATTTTAGTAGTCCACATTCTGTATAATGATCAAACCGATTACAAGGGAGTTCAGGTCTTATGTTCAAATCTTTAGTAGTTTTAAATATTCGTTATCTTCCTCTTGTTATAACTAATCTTGTTCTTCAATGTTAGTGGCTGTCAACTGTACACGATGCAAATTGAGTGTCTTAGTATATAACAGTCTGTCACACAATAAACCCAGTATTGATAATTTCATAGCTACAGTGGGGAAAATATCTGGTTGTATTTATTTACTTGAACACATAAATATTGGTACTAGTGGGCACAAGATACAAATGCGTCACACAATAATAATGAGAATGGGAAAGAGATAAAGGATGTAAGGTGCGTGTAAAAAGAAAAAAAGAACAATAACGACGACAAATTATCTTATGGTAGTGAAATAGTAATAATAATGGGGGAACAGAAAAGTACACCCAGAAAGAATTCTTACAGTTAAAGTAGGTACGGTCAGTTTTTATCACAAAAGTAAAAGAAGGTTACAGTAGGATCGCCACTGGCTTCTATTCTGAGCCACTTCTGATAACGTCTCTAGCCACTGTGTTGCACCATCGTTAGGACCCCAACCAGGAAGTCATGAAAGACCAACAGAAGTCAGTCTTGTACAGCTTTCTTTCATACCACGACAACATGTCATACACTGAACACCGCTTTTTCCAACCAGTCCCAGCATCGGCAAATAATTCACGACGAGGAATTCTGTGGGACGACATTCATAGAACATGTCCAAGCCACCGAAGTTGATGTTTCAAAATAGTGACACCAATTGAATTATCGTCCCTGTGCCCTAACACACGATGCCGACTTATCCCTCGATAATTTTTGCATAGATGACGTGAACGTTTTTTAAAGATAGGGACGATTATCGAATCATTCCATGATGTTGGAACACGCTCTAACTGCCAAACATTTTTGGACAACTCAGACAGTTCCTTAACCAAAAAGTCACCATCATCTTTAAAATGAGCCGGAGGTAAGTCACCTGGACCCGTTGATTTGTAGCATTAGAGAGTGGGAGTTCCTTGCGAACTTCCGCCTCATTTGGTGGATCAGTCATCACGGGCCACGAAGGGCATGATAGTCTGTTCGATGTTGCTGGGGCAGCAGACCAGTTGGACTGCCTATCATCCAAGACGTCGTTTGATGTTAGGGATTGGTATCCCGTCATCTTCACAGATTGTTTCACTCACACCAAACTTCTTGCTGCCAGTGGCTCGAATGAGTTGGAAGAGCTTCCGGCAGTTACCAGATGCAGCTGCTGCTCCCAACTCATTGGCACGCTCTGACCACCGGTCTTCTCGGTCCTTACGCAAGCTTTGCCCAATTTCATTATGTAACAGTCGTCGTTTGTGGTCATCCGGAGTAGACTGACGGGCTTCAATGATTTGTGAGGAGCCAGAAGAATCCCAGTGCTTATAAGCGAGACGTTTCGCGAAGCCGCATGCGACTTTACTCACCGCTTTTATGGCATCGTGCAGTTGCAACCAACGCTCATCTATACTTTTCGACGGGATGTTAGCTAGCCCAGAAGCTAGCTCGGTTCGATACTTATTTGCAACCAATTTACTGACATCAATCCGTTTAGAACGATGAATTTGTTGGCCACTGAAATGTAAAGTAAGATTGGCGCGAAGAAGGGCATGATCAGAGTCTAGATGGGTAGTCCAAAAGGAACGGCAGTTTTGTACTCAACCACGCCAGCGGTAGCTGATCGCGATGTGATCCATCTGAGTCCAGACTTGAGATGCAGAGAGAGGCCGTCAGGTGGCACATCGGTGATGACTGTGCCAGTAGTTAGTGCTAACCAGAAATAGGTTGTGGTCTGCGCACAGTTGCAGTAGACGGTCCATGTTATTTGACCAGGGACCAACAAGTCCTCATAGGCCACCTCGCAGTCCACTCTGTGGGCGTGGGTTCGAATCCCATCCCCGTCGCCAAATTCGCTAGGTTTGGAGCTATCACAAATTCACTTAGAATGGGAAGTATACTCTGCAAACAATCAGAAAACGAGCGATTCAACAAAAACAATTTAAAACGTATATATACAAATATATATAATCGATATTGTCATATAGATTTTTAAACATTCATCAATAAGTTCGTCAGTCGACTGCTATTAAACATTTAGTCGATGAGTTCGTCAATTGACTACCGTTCAATTAGTTAAACATTTAATCGATAAGATAAAATTACGAAATGTGAGTTTTTGGGGGATCTATCGTCCCCAACACTTCTGTGCCTAGACGCCCGACCTGAGCATTCAAGTCTTCCGGCTAGTACTACAATATCTGTAGAACCGTTAGCTGGTGGTAAAACTCATTCTTGATCATATCTGGGCTGCAATGTGTCGGAGCATAGGCAGAAATGACGATAAGACATCGTTTCTCACAGTGATTTCTTCTTACTTTGATGGAATCCTAATCTAACAGGGTGGGAGACAGTAATCAATAAACTGAACATAACTAAAGTACAGTAAATGGTACAATAATAATTTGTATATCAAAGTGAAGCTTAGAATAAGAGGGATATAGATATACACAGTGCAGTTACTGAATAGTTATACAATAACAATATATATAAAATATTAGTCCATTAATAGTTCTCGGAATTTACTCGTGATTTAATGTTCACTAGAATATAGCAATAAGCAACGTAGAATCCAGAGCAAATATACTTTAGCCTAAGTTATCATACCACATCAGGACAACATAAAAAATATTAACATAATGAACAGCAAATGAGTCCAAATAATATAGTTGCATCGATAATGTACACGATTAATCACTGAAAAAAGACTAAGTATATGAATATTGGATATCATGGCCTAAACAAATATAAGTAATGATTAGGTGTGTATCATTTCACCCAACTCCTCCAACCACTGATCGCTGTTATCGCAAGAACCTCAATTGACTAGTCTGTATCAACCAACATGACTTAAATCAACAGTCATTGACTTCATGGACTGATGTTAATTCTTGATTTCCCATGTTTTTTGTACATCGAAGCAGATGTTTTGTCTTTCTGTGCGAAAAGTCCTTTAATTCAACTAAGTTCATAATGTATTCACTTTGTAAATGCTATTCAAAATTAATAAAAACTTCCGGTTCATTAATAACAATTAGTCCTAAAGAGTGATTTGAAAAATCGATACTTTTTCTATACTACATTATTATGATAACATTATTTTTATTACACGAAGCTCTCCAAATGTTTTGTTTTCGTGTTCTTTTGTAAAACTAAAGAGTGGGGAGTAGTCAATGCCCTCAAAAATTTGTACTTAGTTTTATAGAATTTCGCATGTTTTCACCAGCTAATTTTTTTATTTGTTTATTTATGTCCCGATGTCAGATAAAGAATATGAAGATTTCATGATTAAATCATCCAGCACATAGAACACAACATGCTTTAAAAATTCCTCTGGACTGCTTGTGGGGCTACTGCAAGAAAAAAGAAGTTTTCTCCATTTCCTGTCTAGAACGGTTGTCGTTAGAATTACGAGTCTTATCTGTCAAACTAATGTTGATCTCATCTAATTGCCAGTAGTTTTTTAAGGTATTGCACTTTAACAAAAATTATTAAGGACATTCATGTAAGCTATGCATATATACAACAAACATATATTTAGACTATAAGCTAAGCTCAAAAGATCTATACATAATAATTGTCTATCCTCAAACACTTTTGTTTGATTCCTCTTTGTAGTTATTGAAACGTTGCATTTCATATAATGTTTTAACTCTCTTTGTAATTGACGATAATTGTATTACATCAATTAATTCACCTATCAACATCCCTAAGTATTTTCTAAAAAATTCTTTATTCTATCTACTTATTTAGATTCTCCTATCTAATTTTTTGGCTCAAACTGAAGCTTTAATGACTGGTAAAACAAAAGAAGAAGTTCATAAGGAATTGTTTGCTGCTGGAGTTACTGGTGACTTATTAAATTCACTTGCATTGCATAAAAGTTTCAAAGGTAATCGTCCATCAAATTCCATTGTGTTCACCAAATTGACACCATATATTTTGGGTGCTTTGATTGCCATGTATGAACATAAGATATTTGTTCAAGGAATTATATGGAATATTAATTCCTTTGACCAATGGGGGTAAGTTATAACTTTATCTATGTATATTGTGTCGATTTATGTGATATGTTTATTTTTAATTACACTTAACTGGATAATAGTGTGGAACAATTTCGGACATTCAAGTACTGGGTCACAAGATTGAGTCCCACCTAGCCTGCTGAAAGTTGAGTACACGAATCTGTACTTGAGAAATGAGTAGCATCGTCAATAACTATTTGATATTCGTAAATCGACCCACTATAATTCAATAAAATATCGTCTTCATATTGTTTCTTGTTTGTAGCCATTGTAGATAACCATAAATAAAGTTGTATTGACTACCGTAAATCGACGTATGTATATGCTAATAATTATTCATAGCATAATTAAGCGAGTTATTCTATATAAAGCCAAAAAAATGAAAATAAATAGTGTGATGAATCGTGATTTCATCAACAAATTCAAGAGAAGAATGTTAATCATTAATTGATATGCAAAGTGTCCGAGTAATGGCTTCTGACTCCATTAAACTATTGACATAAGCTCCCAATTCAACTGCCTACTAGGGTCTGGCATTTTTCATTGAATAACGCGTTTATCTACAAAGAACTGAACTCAAGAATAAACTAGATTAGACGTCATTTAATAAATAAACGATTACAACATGATATCCATGGGTCATTAACTTTTCCATAAAATTAACGCGTAACTATAAGGCTTAATTCTTGCTTCGTCATATGACAGTCGCAAACAAAGATCGTGCATCGAAAAAAACTATCCCAGTACACACTGTAAAAATTGTATTTGAAATAATCGCAGCGATTATAATTTAAATAATTCCGACACTTCGTCCAGTAATTTTGTCTTAACCTCCTCAGCATAATAATCGAGATTTTCAACGAATATAAAGTTTAATGAGCAAATCTACACTAAAACCTTATCCGATCACATTCAGACACCAAACTGTTTTTAGTAGAGAAACATGAGTCCATAAGATGGGAGTAATGCGGAAATACGTATGTATGCTCACGCTTATGTTAAAATGTAGTGAATAAATCCATTCTCTGTCTATTACCAAAGTTATGTTTACCAGTTTTCTTTATTAAAAATAAAAAGCTATGTAAAATGAGAAAGGAGAAATGCATAACTGTGATGTTTAGACATTAGAATCAGTTGTTTTTAGGAATAAAGCTACTTGTATTATAAACAGAAAGGATAGAGTTAAGGTCCAAATTACTTTTTCATAAGCATTTGTTAAGGTAGGTTAGGTGAATTCCATCCATTTCTGTTCAGACTTTTCTAATTAGCTCACAACTATCAACAACTGTTAATACTTTCACTAGTGAACATTGTACATATTGTTATTACTTCAAATATGCCTGGTTGCTTCTAGATAATCACTTTACCTTACTTCTTTTTTACTTTAAGTTTATTTATTATACTTCTATAATCATATGTGTATGTAGACTTCTAATAAATTTCAAATATTACAATTAAAAACAATTTCCTTTCTCTTTTATGTATAATAAAAGTGTGGAGCTGGGAAAACTGTTGGCCAAGAAAATTCAACCAGAATTAACTACCAATGAACTGGTCACTAGTCATGACTCTTCAACAAATGGATTAATTGCATTTATTAAAAATCATCGAAAGTAAAATCATGTTTGCCAAACGGAAAAATAAAGAAAACCGGAAAATATTAATGAATTCAATCATGACAATTTTAATAAATGAATTTAATATTTATATTTGATTTAATCAATTTCTTGATAGTTAGTAGTCAGACAATATTAAAGTAGAAAATTTTAATATTATCAATAATAATTGCCGTTATTATTATTACAGAACTATTGTTTAAACTGTCAACCAATAATCTTCATCGCCTCTGTGTAGTTTTCTGTTTTCTTTAGTTAATAGTTATATATTTGTGATATAAAATGACCGCATGATTACTGAAATATTGATACTACTATTCTGATCTAGATAATTCTTAATACTTAATACCTAGTTACTTTGTCTTATCTGTCATCTTAGGGAGTAGTATAGTCTCTTGTACTGCTTATTTTTTGGGTTTTGTTTACTAGTTATACCATATACGTTTAATTGATTACGTGAGAGTGCATGAATAAATTTTACTCTCATTTAATTTGTATACCTCTCCCTTACTTGATATGAATTTTGATGATGAAATATAGAAACTTTTATGAATTATTGTGTTAATTTTCAAATTCAGATCATTCAGCAGATTAAAACTATCTTCACAGTTGAATTTACGAGTCGATCTAAGCTATACACCACTAGTCCTAGGTTCGAGTTCCGCACGCGGGATTGTGGGTGTACGCTACTGAAGAGTTACATACTAGGACGAAACTGCTGTCCAGTGCTTTCAGGTTCCCAATGATGATCTAGCTTAGATCGACTCGTGAATTCAACTATGAAATTATTGCGATCTCTGCAAATCCCCGTACTGAAAGCTATCGATTTAAATTGGCTGGAGGAAATGCGTATAAATAAAAGTTTCATGTGCATAGAAATTCACATACAAACTTTGCTTTATTAGACTGAAGAAAGTTTTAATCCCTACTTTCACTCAATGAATTATAGAATCTTACTCAGAAAAAAATCTCTGACTCGTTAAGTCAATGCCATGGACAATTTGTATCCCTTACGTTCTACAAATAGAAATATTGAACATGTAACAGCTATTTAAACCCTGTTTATGTACCTTATAAATATGTATTTGCGTATATTCTTCTGAGGTTTGAAATTAGTGGGACTGATGAAGTTCTTAATTGTTGTTTCAAGCATTATACATGTTCTCACTACAAGTATCCTAGATTAAAAGACTTTTGTGAGTAAACGATAAGCTACCGGTGTATTTACTTAATTTATGGTCTTTGACGGGTGTAATAAAATTTATTGACGTCTTAAAAAGTACCCCGATGAATCATAAAATCTATCGTCAGTATAGAGTTGTGGAGATCGCTGAGTTGGTCGAGCAGTATCGTGGGTTGGATGAAGTTAGACATTAACACTATTGGTTTATAGGCCAAGTGTTCGCGCGTGACTGAAGATCCTGCGCACGGGATCCTATGCTAGGACAAAACGGCCTTCCAGTGGTGGTCTAACATTGGTCAGTTCATGATCTCGAATAAAATCCATTAGACTACCCTTTATCGATCATTGCAAGCTATTGGTCGGTTCATACTTCATTATGATTTATAAAATCGAGCGAAGTCCACTGAGAGATCTAAGCTTACATCAGTGCAATCAATAATTCATTAATTTCACTATGTATATATATGTCCATGTTATTCATATTCATGACTCGCTCGCTCGCTCGTTCATTCACTCGCTCGATCGCTCGCTCGCTTGCCTGTTTGCCTTTCGGCACAACTAGTTCATGCTTGCTTAACGCATCTGTAATTTTGGATATCTGTGTGGTCCCTTAATAAACGTAATTAACGCTTCGCATTCGCCTTCTGATTAATATACCGTTGGAGCATTATTTGGTGACGGTTACCGAGACGTACTGTATACGGAGTTTAAGGAATATATCGAACACCGACCACCACACCAGTCAATATGCAAATTTCGCTATAACTTTTCGTATACAATCATTCGCACTTTGTCAGGATTCTGTTGTTTGAAATATAACGTTTTTTTGCATCAATTATTTGGTTAAACTGACTTATTTTGATTTTCAACATGTATATATGCTAAACCCTATGAATATTTCTATCCAAATAAAACATAAAGTTTTATGATGTTATGATAAAAGTGCATATCCGTTTTGTCTCATAACTATCAATACATTACGACTAATTTTTTATGTAACAATGTTTTTGAATAACATTCTGTTCTATCATTGTAATGTTTCATTCTCTATACTTTATATTATATTACATGAACGTATGCATTTGCATTCAGGGCATACATTAAATCAATATTTCCCCTAAAACAATGGCTAGTTATTGTTTCGCAGCTTCTCTCTGTTTTAGTATTATGATTTATGCTGATTATGACTGAATGATTATCTGTCTTTGTGTTGTGTGTAAATAAATTGAACCTATTCATTATGGAAGCGTTAGTTTTACATCATCAACTATTTATGTACAGAAATAATTAATCCGATTGCTTTCATTGTCGTAATCCAATTTTTCTTCAATTCCTTTATGTTTCATTTTCCTCCTTATCTTTAATGTACATAATTTTTTAATCGTCCATTGCTCTACATTATAACACTTTTGAGTAAAGCTCAAGTTTTAATTCCTTATTGACAGTAATTCCCAGTTGTACACCTAAAAATATCACACCATGTTGTCAGTATATAGTTTATATCTTCGACTTCTGCACTTATAATTTCTATCGATTTCAAGGAATCATTCAGTATATACAAGAACTTCCATTTAAATTTAAACGAACAGTTTCACAGTAGTTGGGTGCCAGTTTCATGTAAGACATTAAGGAGGAAGAATATTTTTGTAAAATCTCAACGATTGAATTTCAAGTAAATCCAACATTTCGTTCGGCAATTCGGTCCAAGCTTTTTCATCAGAATATAATCAAAATTATCGAATATAAACAGTTAACTGTATACTAAATAAGTGATCCTTCACTCAATATACCCTATTTAACTAAACTCAGATAATTCTGTTTAAGGTTACGAACAAACCTTCCACCACACTGGTTATTATATATATATATATATATATATATATATATATATATATATATATATATATATATATATATATATAAATTTGTAAAATCACAAAGAATTGTTCATTAAATTGTTTATTTTAATGCGCAATTAATTTTTAAAAATTCCTATATGCATAGAATTTGCCTGTAATTTTCGTGAGTAGTTTTATAGATATGTTTAGAAATAGAAAGATAAATATTCAGAACAATTCAATCAAACTGTGTGTTATAATAGACTAAAATGAGTTCTTTAGTGCATGTACTCCATAGTTCATCAAGTTATTTCCTCTTGATAAAGTCTAGTTCGTTACGATTATCATTGGCATTTCCCAGATGTAAATAGCTCCATCTTCGCTGACCGTGACAATGCTTTTTTGATCTGGTGATATATGTAATCTTGTTATTGGTGATGTATGTCCCAGCCCTACATGGGTTATTTCACCTTCATTATACTTCCAGACCTGAATTGTAGATTTATGTCAATGATTAATATATTTGTTTTTTAAAATATAATTTAACTGGTGGACTATATATGTCTTAAAGGTAAGGCCTCGTAAAGTAACTCGTATGTCTGACAGCTGTTTATCAAATCATACGTTATTTCTGCGATGCCTTTCTGTAATAGACGAACCCTTTATACTTTAGACAGGTTACCTTCGAAAAATATGAAGATTTACATTCTTGTCATCATTAGTATATAGCTAACATTATAACGGAAAGAATACTATCAAAATCTTACTCCAAAAACCATTAATTTGGTGGTTTCCCTTCAAGTAGAGGCAAACTATCTTATGCACAACCACTGTGAAGGATTAGTATTCAATATTGAATAATTATCTTTTAACTCCTCAATCAATTTCAGTTGAATTGTATCATGTACGATGATGTGATTGAATTCCATGATTAGTGTCACATGACTCATCACAATGTCTTCTACATTGGAAATTCTACACTTATATCAATTAATACGAAGGAACACTTCATGGTCATTCCAATTAATCTTTATCTACTCATGTATTCACTTACCAGTATTATCCATGATATCTTTACCATACTGAACAACAAATAATATTGTAAATATTCAGTAGTTAATTGGGTAATAATTAAAAATTACCTACCTAAATAATTCAAAGTTGTTGGTAAGAATGATAATCAACATAAAATGAAAACTAAAGCGTAGGCAACTACCATATTGGATGACCCAGTCTTGTGTGGTAAGCAAATTATTTTGATTTTCATAAAAGACAGTTTGGATTTATTGGTCAAAGAATTACATTCGCATCTTACAAACAGTCTGTTAAGAACAAACGCTGACTGGCATTTAAAAAATTTCCAGTCAAACATATTTACTTCAAATGTAGTTCTAATTGCTTACAAAAATCACGCTTATCAATACTTTTGTGTTATCTTATAGCAAGCTGCTCTGATAAGACATTGAGCCTATCAAAAAGTCAAACTTTTTATTAAATGTTTACCGATAAATTATCTGCATACAACTGTTGGTTTCGTTAAATCGATCACCGAACGAATAGATATATTCTGACAGCTTTCAGTTAAAATTTAATAACGCTGTTATGTTCACTCAATATTGTTTCTTTGAATCTTCTAGTTGATGCTTAGGACTGCAATGGATCAGTCTCTTATTGGCATATGTGCGTATTGCCTCGATATATCCTTAATTCACAAGCATTCTATGCAAAGATTCAGCTGACGAGTCCCAAATAGGACGAAACGCGCGCCCTGGATTCCACTACTAGCCACTATCCATCTTTGCATATAATGCTATTGTGTTTATATTGTCAAGGTGAGATGGTTTTCTAGTGTATAAATTTATCTAAGAGGTTTTTGGTTACATAATTATTCCTCTTACCTGTATGATTTCTACTTCATGTAGATTAATGTCTATGTAAACTGAGAAGCTAGCTGTATATATTATTATTGACTAACAAATA